GAACTACCAGTTGCTGTGATGCTCACTGACCTCCAGGGGGCAGGTGCTCAATGCAGGAGCTGCCCGCTGGTGGTTAGTGCACTCCCACAGCCAACCTCCCACGTGGGCCTACCTCCCCTGTGGCTGGCCAACCTTCCCTGGTCCCTCCCTGGGGCTGGCAGGCCCTGGCTGGCAGCTGGCAGCCTGGTGGTCACTGTGCTCCCACAGGGGGAGCACCACTCAGCCAGAAGCCAGGCTCATGGCTAGGGAGTGCATTGTGGTGGTGGGAGCCTCTCCCACCTTTGCAGCAGTGCTAAGGAGCAGCGAGCTGAGCAATAAGGAGCAGTGAGCAGGCGAGCGGTAAGGAGTGAGGGGTCCTGGACTGTGTGTCATAGTGACCGGTCAACCGGTTCCTGTCGTTCAGTCGTAACGGTCACTTAGGCTTGTATATGTATATGTATATGTATATGTATACACACACATATATATATATATATGTATATTTTTTTATTTCAGAGACGAAGATAGAAACATCATTGATAAAAGAGAATCATTGGCTGCCTCCTGCACGCCCCCTACTGGAGATCAAGCAACCCAGGTATGTGCCCTTGACTGGAATCGAATCCTGGACCCTTCAGTTCTCAGGCGGACATTCTATCCACTGAGCCAAACCAGCTAGGGCTCTTATGGTTCTTATTTTGGTTGCAAGACACCTCAGCAATAACCATCAGGAAACTGTTAGGACTGATCAAATAACTGAATTGATACCCCCTCCCCTGGGAACTGACCTTTTGACTTCACAACTGACATTCCCTTTCACTTAGACCACATTCCACTTGCTAAGACCACATTCCACCAGCTATGACCACATTCCACTTGCTAAGACTATTATCTTTCCCTTCCAGACTTTCCCAGGATCCAGACCCACCCAGAGAATTTCCTGCCAAAAAAGCCCACCTAGAATCCTTTAAAACCTCTGACTCCCCATCCCTAGGTGCTGGCGCCATTTTGGGGTTCAGCCCATCTGGACTCCAGATGACCTAATAAATTTATAATCCCTTACCACTTTTTGGCCTCCTTTGGCGACCCCAACAGAAATGTTGAAAAGACACTGGTTTATTATTTACAAGACCTCACTGGGGCCCCACAGCAAGGTCGCAGTAGAGAGAGTGAGCATGCATGTGCATGGGCCTGGAGTCTGCTTTATTGGGGTCAAGGGTGGGAAGTCTAGGGTTTCAGAGTTCACTATCAGTGGATTTAAAACAAAAGAGCAGAAATTAAAGCACTGGAAAAGGAAAAGAAACTAGTAGTCCAAATGGTCATTTATTGAAATCAACCAAGATTCCTAAAATAAAGGAGCCTCAGTTAGGAGAGGCGGCCTGGCTCTTTAATCTACGTTTGTGTGTGTATGCATCTGGCAGTGTGTGTGTGTACGTGTGTGTGTGCGTATGCCTGGCAGTGTGTGTGTGTTTGTGGCAGTGTGCGTATGTGTGTGTGTGTGCCTGGCAGTGTGTGTG